AATGTAGATGTGCACTCAACCCACACTGACTCGTATTTTTCTTTATCAAATAAAATTAAATCAGGCCTCAATTTCGGAGCCAATTTGACTGGTATATAGAACAAAACGCCACCGCCTTTCTTTTTTACCGCTGATTGCCTATCATATCTGAACATCGCATGCGTTCTAGGGTGGAGATTCCATAAATTATCACTATCTTCTTTTTAAAGCCACGTTTTGGAAATTCCTATAATTGTATTTTCGCCCATATCATCAAGAAATTTTTCAATTGCATCCGTTTTCTAATAATACTTTGAAAATTCAAAGGAACAAATTTAAGATTTGCACAATTTTTTGAGCAGATGACGTAGACTGTTTCAATGGTTTCAATAGGACCAGGGTTTTTTTCAACATCCCCACTTTGGGTTAGTAACAACGCAAACAGGAAAAGATGAGTCAGTGTGGTAGCTCTCCGCTCATTTATCCCACATTTTGAAGTTAATATCTTTTGATGGCAGCTTAGATAGCCCCAGTAAACAATGGTTTTTTCAATATTTTACATCTAAGCCTTGGAAATTAGAAAAATTGCACAAAACAACCAGAATTTATTATTCAGCATAATAAATTAAATAATCGCCAAAATTTAATCGCCAAATTAAATATAATCGCTCTTGTATATCATTAACATATAAATTGAACAACAACGGACCAAGTACCGTTCCTTGCAGGACACCTCGTTTGATTTCAATCCAGTCTGAAAAGATTCCATTGAACTTTACTCTTTGAATAAGTTTGCTTAGGAAGCTAGCAATTAAAGCATTTGCTCCATTTGAAAAACCGAGAGAAAGCAATTTTTCAATTAAAACTTCATGCAAAACATAGAATCAAAAGCCTTGGACAGATCTAATAAAGCTGCATGTACGATTTTTTTTTAATCTATATGATTTCGAATACTTTCTGTCACATAAACAAGAGCATCTTGTGTTGAAATGATTTTGCGAAATCCGAATTGAAATGGTGTCATTATTTGAAATTTGTCAAGATGTTCTGTTATTTGGGCATGCAAAATTTTTTCAAAAATTTTAGAAAAAGCACAAGTTATTTATAATGGCCGATAATTTTTTGCATCCATTGGGTCATCTTTTTTAAACAAAGGGGTTACGTGTGCTTTTTTTCAGCTCGATCGGGAAAAAGTTCTCATCTAAGCAAGTATTTATGACAAAAGTTAAATGTGGAACTATAACAGATTGACCGTCAATGATTGCACTAGCAGGTACGGTACAAGGTCCGATTGGTTTTCTGATATTGATTTTTCGAACTTAATCAAAGCATTGCTTCACTGTAATGTGTTGAAATTGGAAAGGCGCAGATTCAGAGGCAGATTTGTTTTAATTCGGAGGCTTTTTATCGCCGAAAAATTTGCCTAAGTTTGAAAAAATATAATTGAAATGATTGGCAATTTTTTTTTTCTTGGGTTATCATTTCACTGAAGGAATTTCGTAAAACTGTAATTCGATTGTTGCCAGAACATGTACCTCTAACTTGGTTAATATATTTTCATTTTTGTTGGATAGTGCTGAGAAGTGAAAAACAAGGTTTTGAATGATCGAGTTGTTTACTTCTAATCAATTGGCTCATTTGAATACGTAAAAACTGGTACTTTGACCAATTATCGCTTGTGCTTTGACTGCGATATGATCTGAGTGAATTCTGTTTCTTAATCAACAATTGCTGACATTTTGAATCGAACCATTCCGTTTTCAACACATTTTTTGGTTTAAAATTTTGAACAATTTTTTTTCGATAGGAGGATGTTGCTGAAAAGCACTAGAAATTAAATAAATCATCGTCGAGAACATGTTTTCTGCGTCTGTACATTGATATAAGAGATATCAAGGAAGAGCGGAGAAAGTATTGCAAAATTCATTTTTCTGATAATTTTTTTTATTGAAAGTCAAAATTATCCTCGATAAACTTTTGCCGCTTTTTATATCCTCAAAATAAATGAAGCAAAATGGTCGGTTTTATAAGGTGTATCAAAACAAAATTCAATGCCGTTTGTTTCATAGTCACTGATAATGTAGTCGATATGAGTTTTAGTTGAGGAACTAATTCTTGTCTCATCGTTTGGACAAAAAATCTTCAATCCATATGGAATAATTATAGAACCTAAATTTTCTTTTTCTCTGCTATCCAGATAATTTATTTTATAATCACCCAGAAGCGTAATTTTATTAGAAACTGAAAATGCATTATCTATGTTAAGCGTTAATTGTTCCAAAAAATCAATAAAGTTTGATCTGCTTGGATTATAACACAAATTAACTAACATTTTTTCTTTACTGGGAATGTTAAATGTAGATGTGCACTCAACCCACACTGACTCGTATTTTTCTTTATCAAATAAAATTAAATCAGGCCTCAATTTCGGAGCCAATTTGACTGGTATATAGAACAAAACGCCACCGCCTTTCTTTTTTACCGCTGATTGCCTATCATATCTGAACATCGCATGCGTTCTAGGGTGGAGATTCCATAAATTATCACTATCTTCTTTTTTAAGCCACGTTTTGGTAATTCCTATAATTGTATTTTCGCCCATATCATCAAGAAATTTTTCAATTGCATCCGTTTTCTAATAATACTTTGAAAATTCAAATGAACAAATTTAAGATTTGCACAATTTTTTGAGCAGATGACGTAGACTGTTTCAATGGTTTCAATAGGACCAGGGTTTTTTTCAACATCCCCACTTTGGGTTAGTAACAACGCAAACAGGAAAAGATGAGTCAGTGTGGTAGCTCTCCGCTCATTTATCCCACATTTTGAAGTTAATATCTTTTGATGGCAGCTTAGATAGCCCCAGTAAACAATGGTTTTTTCAATATTTTACATCTAAGCCTTGGAAATTAGAAAAATTGCACAAAACAACCAGAATTTATTATTCAGCATAATAAATTAAATAATCGCCAAAATTTGCACCAAGAAAAAATGCGAAACTAGTATTTCCTAAAGAGTTTTTTGCACCTTTTTGGAAAAATTGTATCATTTCTGCCGTTTTTGGATCTAAATTTGATGATTGTTGGGTTTTCTTCATTCTGGGGCGGGTTTGCACATGGGTTTGCATTAATATCAGAATCTCTAAAAGAATCTCTAAAACTTTGCACCAAAATTTCAACACCCCCATCAGAAGGATGCAAACCATCCGAGCTAAGCGCATCGGTATTTTGACTAAAATTTTTGTTTATGTCTAAAATATCTAATTTTACTTCGACCAAGTCCTTTACATTCCGTACTAAATTAAAACTTTGCTTGTTTAGCTTCTGTACATTTGGGTTAAAATCGTTTCTAAAAGCGCCTAAGGGAGTTACAGTACAAAGTGAAATTGTTTCTGGGGAGACTTTATGATTTACCAGATAAATTAGTTTTTCTAAGCTACTCACGGCTTCCTTCGCGTCGAAATCATTTGAGAGGCAGTCATTTATTCCAATTAGCGTAGTTACATGTTTAAAATGTTGCGATTCACTATTTCTCACCAATGCAGAAATTGTGTGCCCACCAAACCCTCTGGCCAACACATTTTCCGATATTTGTTCCCCATTCATTCTGTTAACAATTGAGTCTCCCAGTAATAGGCCAGAATATTCTCCTTTTCGTGGTAAAAATAAATGTTTTCGTTGTTGGTCGAATTTTTCTTCTAGAATATTGGTTGCTTGTATTTTGATTTCTTGGTTATTCTTGCTTTCTTGGTTATTTTCGCTTCGTTTGTTCTGATTTCTGCTCCGAGTTTCAATCTTGCACCATTCATTTTCAAATTTGTTTTCTGCAATTTTCGAATTGCCCTTGTTTTTAAAATTTTGTAGATCAATAAATTTGTTTCCTTTTTCTTCATCTTTCGTTGATACAGTTAAGTTTTCGATAATTCGTTTAAAATAAGTAACATTTTCGATCAAGTCTTTATACAGCTCGTATTTCAATTCGTCGTTCAAATTTCGGAAAGTTTCGAGGTCAAACATGTTGGCGATTAAAAGCGAAATTAAAAATACGATATTAAAATGAACCGACTTATCGTTGGAAATTTAAATTGGTTGTGTCTTGAAAATTGGTTGTGTCTTGTATACTAAATCGCAGAGAGGAATTTTTTGAAAATTCTGCAACATGAGAAAGTTTGTGAAATCCAAATTTTGGGTAGATTCCGTGGTTTAAGTTTTTTTTTTAAATTTTAATTAATTTTTTTGTGCGCTTTTTTAGTAGATTTGACCTGCAGCCCCCCCCCCCCTTACCAACGTTCATCGACCTGTTTGTGTGCCTGTACGTGTGTTTGTATATGTGACCCTTTGTGTGTATTTGAGAATATTTTATATCTAAAAATACATGAGTATTTTAAAACAGTAATGAGAATTTTATATATTTGCATATTTTCGTATATTTGCAGTTTTGTAATTTTACATCTTTAAAATTGCTTTTTTTCTTCCAGGCATAATTAGAACTAAAAATAGAATCGCTGAATTAGGTAACTAAAATGAATTATAATCGAATATAATGGATTATAATGGATTTTTTTACCTCATAAATAATCGATTATAATCGATTATAATGGATTATAATGGATTTTTTTACCTCATAAATAATAGATTATAATCGATTATAATGGATTATAATGGATTTTTTTACCTCATAAATAATAGATTATAATGGATTTTCTCGACAAAATAATCGATTTCAGTGAGAAAAATCATGGATTATAATCGATTATAATGGATTATAATCGATTATAATGGATTATAATGGATTATTTTTTCTCAAAAACAATCGATTATAATGGCAATATAATCGATTTCGTGGTCTGAATTTTACATCCGTAATGGATTATAATCTATTATTTTTGTCTCGAGAATCCATTATAATCGATTAGAATCCATGGGCGCTAGGTGCGGGAAGCTTATAAGTTTCGAAAGTGTGGGATAAATGTTGATTGCTTTTGTGTGGTTCTGATTTAGACTTGTGTTGTGTGCGTCAGTTTGAGAAGTACATGCATTATGGACGGTGGATGTTGAAGCTAAGTCCTCAACAGTACCTGGAAAGACTCACAGACTACAGCGAGAACAAACGACTCAACTACCTCTCAGTCAGTCAATCTCATCAAAAATTATTAGCCAGTTATGGGGGTGTATAGACCGACTTGCATGCGTGCCGCTTTAAGCATGCGCAATTAAAGTAATTTCCTCAATGTGATAAGGCTTCTTTTTGATTTCAGTTATAGTTACAACTGTCAGAAAACAAACTCAGTTCTATAGTCAATAACAATTTGTTGGCAATATTGGTATTCTCGAACGGGGACCGACCTTTTACCAGAAAAGTCATAACATCCCGCACTCAGTAAAAAGACAAAATAATCGATTATAATACAATTATAATCCCGCATCCAAGTTTAGGCGAAAATAATCGATTATAACGGATTATTATGATGATTTTTTGGACAATTATAATCGATTATAATTACCAAAATTAGGTCTTTAAGGGATTTATAATTGATTATAATCGTGATTTTTTCGTGATATTTGATTATAATCGAATATAATTGATTATAATTGGTTATAGTTCTTACTAAAAACCCTTAAAATCAATTATAATCGATTAAATCTCTTATTTTGCCAAAACTTTCCTATATTCGAATTATATCTTATGGGTAATTATTTTTGTGTCAATAAAAAAAGTTCTAAAATAGAGATCTCTTGAACTCTTTGGTTCATCTGAACACGAAGTTTTACCACGAAACAAAAGTTTCATAGAGATCCTTTCATATGAGTGGAAAGGTTCTCGCGGTAGATGAAAAATAAATTTTCCGAATCAATCAAGAAATTAAATCAATGTTTTGGTGTTTAAAAAAGCTTAAAATATGCATCACAAAACAACTCTAATAGGGAAATGAAAAAAAAAACTTAATAATTTGAATTAATTGGAAAACTTTTTAAAAAATTTTCTCATTTTTCATAGGAACCAGCTTCCACAAAATGCATAAAATATAGGCAATTTAGATGCAACTTCGAAGACAAAAATGGACAAACAAAAGGGATTATAATCAATTATAATCAACTATAATGGATTTTTGTGCAAAACTAATAAAATAGAAATTTGAATAAAAATAATGGATTATAATCAATTATAATCGATTATAATTGTATCAAAAAATTGACGAATAAACAATTGATTATAATCGATTATAATGGATTATAATTAATTATAATTTGATTTTAAAAAGAAAGATTATAACCGATTATTAATTGGTTAAAATCGATTGTTTCTCAATTTTAGTGAGACTGGTACTAAAGTCGTAATATAATCGAATATTAACGCTTGAAACTGGATGCGGGATTGTACTTTTATCAAAATTATAATTAATTATGAGCGCCAAACTTAGATGTTTAAACGATTTATAATCCGTTATAATGATAACTTTTTTCGTGACTTTTTAATAAAATTTAATCAATTATAATTAATTATAATTTTTCCGAAAATCTCTTATAATCTCTTATAATATATTAGAACGAATTATGATAAATTGTAATCTTGTTTTTTGTCAAAAATCTCTAAAACTGAGATGTCATAACACTCCTTGGTTCATCTGAACACAACATTTTACCACAAAACAAAAGTTTCATAGAGATCCCTTCATATTAGTTGAAAGAAGCCCGCGGTTTCTCAGCGAACTTTTGTTTGTTCTAACCGCTTCCGTTTTGAATCGTCCAGTAATTTTAATTTATCTTTATTTGAATTATTGCATTGTGGTCTGGTAAAAGGTCGGTCTGGTAAAAAGTCGGCCTGGTAAAAAGTCGGTCTGGTAAAAGACCCAGCCCCTTCTCGAACAATTTAATCGGTCAAAAACTACAGCTTTTAGGTTAGTTAGTTTATTGGAAATGCTCTTTACGTGTGAAAATTAGTAAGAAGCTAAATTCGGACATCGAAAGAACATTTTTAGGTTAATTAATTTCAATCAGATTCATTGACTGAAAAGGAGGTTGCCAACAGCTTGGCACAAACATAATTGCGCTAATAACTGGATACTAACCGCGTTAACTTCCACACAAGAAAAATGTCTATCGTATCGTTTCATCTATGGAGTTCGTGGAAAAAGTTCTTATCATACAAATTGCAACGAGGACAATTGAATGACAAGCATTTTTTAATCGAAAGTTTTTTTCAAATTTTTTCTAAAATTGGTTTAAAACTTGAACAAAATAAACTGGTGGCTGTTTCGGTTTTATGAGAGAAACTTTGGTTACAATAGACAATTTGATGAAAGATGCGTATCAAACAATTTCATTAAAAAAATTGTATGAATTGAACTTTACCATAAAAAAAAACTTGAGGTAAATTTTTTAAATCGCTTTTTTTATTGCAAACTTGTTTTTGTGCTCAAAAAATTTTAATAAAAAAATTGCATGGAAAATTTGAAATTTTGTATCGATAACGTAGTCCCTATTAAAAATAAATACTTAAATGTGTTTTCAGGGAAATAGTCACGAAGTGATCTGGAACTACCTGTTTTTTCGCGATGCTCTAGCAAAATTGAAATTCGGTCCAAAATTTTTCGTCATAAAGCCTTAAAGTCAGCCAGGCACAGGCAAGGTCACGTTGCAAATGATGAATAATTATCATGTGGAAAAAATACATTCAGTGTAATGAAATTGCTTGATTTTGAACAAAAATGATTGAATTCGCTATGAAAATTACGTGTTACTATAAAAATTGTTTGAAAGCGCATTTTTCAGCCCATATTAGCCCGATTGGCAATTTCTAACTTAAACTACTTTTTGATTGCTGCATAAATATACGTTTAAATTAGAGCAAAATACAACTTAAAAACCCAAGAACAATTCTAGAAATTTGAAACTGGTCCGATTGAAAAGCCAACCTAAGCATGGTTACTCTTTCCTTTTCTTCGAGAGTCGAAACTAAAAATCAGAGAAGAAATTTTTCATACCGTTTGCAGGCTTTAAAAGTTCCAAAAAAAACCAGATGACGAAATTAAAAGAATCAAATCGCTTGCCCGGTTTGACCACAACTTCTTATCATACAATTTACATACATGAAACACTTTTTGTCATACAGTTCCATACAATTCCATACAAACAGAAAATTGTATGAAATCTCTTTGGTAAGCATTTTTCCAATAACGAAAATTGTGTGACAAGTATTTTTCCATAACCCAAAAAGTTGATTTTTTTCTTGATTAATTTTTCTAAAAACTTTTGGGTTGTGTCCGTACCAAACGCAACTGACAAATACCTTGGCTGACTCAAAGCACCAAAGGTTTGACGGTATTGCATGTTGCTTTTACACTGCATAACAAACTATCTGAATTGTCTTAATCCTGTCTTTCCTAAATGATAGAACGAAAGTAACAAACTTTTGGTTTTTGGCAAAAATTTTCAACGATTATTTTTGAAACTTGAATTTTAAAGTTATCAGACATTGATCAAGACTTATATAAATATGCCATGCGAAAGAAAAAGGAGCTTTCAGCGCTTTTGAAGAAAAATATTAGAAAAGTCAAAAATCCAACATTAGTGTATCCAGGACTACGTTATGCACACAAAAAAAAATAAATTTTGTATGCAAAAAAATTTTTTTGGAAAATGTTTGTTTTGAGTACAAAATTTAATTTGCTCTTGAAAAAAGTTTCGGGACAGTTTTCAAAATTAGTTGGAAAAACTTTATCCGTCAAAAAAATGCTGCTCATGCAATTTCCATTTATGGGAATTGTATGATAAGCATTCTTTTCAAAAAAAACATGGGTTTATTCATCACAAGACAGTTTTATTAGAATCAAACAGCCGCAGAAATTAGTTTAGATTTTTTTTCAACCATTTTTCGAAAGTATAAGAAAATTGTATGACGGGCATTTTTCCATAGATTTGATGTATAGAATTGTATGATAAGCGTTTTCGGTTTATGGAGGTCAACCCGGGTAAATTTTGTTCATTGTCAACACGAAGTTTGAAAGTCTTCTTTGAGTTGTTAAAACTATCTGCCTACTTGTTTTGCTATCAAGATTGTTGTTTGAACTCTCTTCGAATTTTTTGAGCTTTTAAGTTAAAATCGTGAAGGTGATTGCTAGCTGCAATTTTAAAAAAAAATGCGGTAATCAGGAGTACAAGTTGCTGATTCAAATAACTCTGCTCCACGAAGGGCTGTTGTTGATTCTTTTTTTTCCACGGTAGGTTCTAGTGATTCATTACGAGGCCAAACTGTGAAATTTGTTAATTGTATTTGGATTCCACAACAAGGACGCTCCCTTTTGTTGTTCCTTTTTTCTAACACTTGATTTGATATCGTTCTGACAAAAATTTGACATGTTTAAAGACTTGTCTGTGGAAACCAGGAACATACAGACACAGAATTGTGCGCCTATTCAGTGCACAGTTTGGCCTTGTAATGTTTTGGTCGATTCGTTTTTGAGCTAAATTTTTATCATTAGTTTACCAAACTGTTCAAAATATTGATAACTCGATATGATTAACTGTTTGAACTAATCTTCTGTAGAAAAGCAATTTCGTTCCAAAATCCAGCTGCTTTCCTTTAGGCCTACCCTAACCCGGATCTCTGCCTCAACATCATCACAGAAGTGGGTTTCGGAACTGGACCTATGAAACCCTTCCTTGGGCACCCAAACCCCCACTACCCCCTGGTCTTCCCCGATATGCCAGGTGTGAATAGAGTCAGATTCCCATTCCACAGACCCGAAAATCTACTCACTTTCCAATGGTTCAAACACAACATCATGTGCAGAGGTAATTCTTAAGATCTACTGAATGAAAACTCTTTCGTTTCAGCTGTCTCTTAAATTGTTACTTCAACATGTCTTTTTTACAAGTAAAACTTGTACCATAACACAGAGTCGGCTTTGAGGGGGACGCCTTTTTTGTTCAGAGATCAACCCCTCTGCCGAAACAAGGGGTCCTTTCTTTGATACTGTTTTACGGCGTTTATTATCGACTAAAAAACGTACTTTTGTGGTAACAACTTCCAAAAAGTGTCTACCAGCATTGGAATTCCATGAATAAAAACTGATTCAAATTGATTTTTTTTGTTTGTGTTTATAAAGGTGAAAATTAATCGATCATCAATTAATTGAATTATAATGCCGTTAGCTAATAAAACATTAAAAGCCATTGCAAACCAAATATAATTGATTATTACTCACTTTTTTAGTCAAAGAAAATGAAATTCCATTATAAAAACTTTTACCTTTTCGAGATGCCATTTTCAACGCATACAATTAAAAATAAGTCATTTGCACGTTTTAAACTAAAGTGGGATACTCGTTGTTTAATTTGAATTTTTTTCCGCATCTTCGATTCTTGTTTTTCGTTTTGTGTTTATCAATTTTGCTGCTTTCAACTATTTCTCAAATTGTTTAGAAACTTTTTTTGATGTGGGGTGTTGGTTGCCGGCTATTTTTGGTCATGGGGAGGGGGCGGTTGGTTGTGGTGGGGAGGTGGTTGGTTCTTTTAGTGGGGGTAAAAGACAAAGGGACGATTAATGGGGGGGGGAGGTGTAAGGTGGCAAAGAGGCAAATAATTGGGGTGATGTTGGGGATCAGTTAGTTCTGTTGATAGGGGGGGGGGGGGGGGTGGGGGTGGGATTTTTGGTCATTTTGGTGGGGAGGGAGGTGACGGGTGGAGTTTAAAATGACAATTGTTAGGAGGGTATGGTCGCAAAGGGGCAAACGTTGAAAGATGTTGGGATTATTATTGTTTTGGCAGTTTGAGAAACCTTTTTTTTTTAAATTAAATAGGCCGTACACTCATTCTGCAAAGTTTTTGTAAGGCCGATTTGAACTTTCTGTAAGGCATAAATTGATGCAAAAATTTGCACGATGCGAAACTAAAAAAGGTGGAAAAAATTCTATTTGAATTGATTTTCAATGGTTTATAAAAAGTTTTAAATTTGATAAAAAATAATACTTATAATTGATTGTTTGTTCCATTTTGTTGTTTGCTGGTATCATGGGGTACAATTATTTTGCAAACATTTTAATCACAAAAACTCATTATAACTGATCTTAGATCTTAAATACAAGTAAATCCTTTTTTTTTTTAATTTTTACAACAATGGCCTTTTTTTCAAAAAAAAAACTCGCGGCGAAGAAAATTTGGTCAAAACAGGGTCTTATTCAGAAGAGGATTTAAAAGGGGTGCTTGGGAGAGCTCAGAATCTCTATTTGATCGACCTAAAAAAAGATCGACAACAATTTCAAAAAATTTTTTAATGAAACTCCGCCCCAAAAACACCCTCGAGAAACTCAGAAAATCCTAAATCAACCACTGCCTTTACACTTCCCGATATCTTAGATTGTACGCATGCATGGTTATTAAACAACTTCAATTAATCTTATGAAGTAATTTTTTTCCGAATTTAGTAATTGTTTTCCGAATGGGGCTATACGGTTGAGTAAAAGGAAAACAAAAAGTTTGATATTTATTGCAGGCCAGCCATGGATCTGTGGGCACAGACAATTCTGATCATTCGCTTGACTACGACCAACACGGAGCAGACAAAGAAGTGTTTAGCTGGAGATCTAACTGCCTTTCAAAAATTTAATTTCAAAAACTTTAATTTTAACTTAGCTTTTGTTAACTCCTTATTTAATTTATTGAAAGTGAGAACCACTAATGCTCAGAGAAGTCAGCATAAGTAATCATAGGCACTGAACCTGTCACTTGCTTATCTTTTTACTCAATTCGCTTCAAGAAGTACATACTGGTTAATCTGGATTTTTGGGGCAAGTTTAGACGCTGAAAAGGAAGCCATTTTAGTGAAGTCCGGGTCGAGGTTCGCGACTAAAAAAAATGGTGCGACTCAAATTTGGCAATTCCAGACCGGCGCGACTTTATTTTTGCAATTCCAGACCGGCGCGACCGAAACTTGGCAATTGAAGGCCGGCGCGACTGAGAAAAACTACCGCGACCGGCGCGACTCAAAACACCGTCGGAACCGGCGCGACGTAAGCTAATGACGCGACCGGCGCGACTGAAAATTTTCAATTTCAGACCGGTACGACTGAGAATAAACCGCCGCGACTGAGCAAAACAACTAAAAAAAATTTCTGAAGTCGCGCCGTCGGTCTTATCTTAAGTCGCGCCGCTTGAGTCTTTTCTTAAACTCTAAGCGAACAATTTTGTTCAAATTTGTTCGCTTAGAGTTTTTTTGCAATTCTGCTTCCTACAGTTACTGCGCGGCTCATAGTCTGAATTGATCTCACTAGAAAGCAACAGTGATGTCAACCCTGTTTTGTCAAAACTGTGAAATTTGAAACGCACGCAAAGTATAGGTGCAGCTGATTGTTGTTAACAGTCATCACATTATTGCGCAAATAAGAACACAGTTTGTAAGTTTTTCCAATTGTTAAATTTCACAAAAAATCTTTTAAAAGACTGTGGATGCTCGAAAACGGTGGAAAAAATTACAGCCCGGATTCAGTTTCAAGCGTTAAAAAACGACTATATTATGTTTTAGGTACCAGTCTTACTGAAAATGAGAAAAAATCTATTTGAAGCAAAGAATAATCGATTTCAACCTTTTTTTTCTTAAATTTGAATTGTATTAAAGTTTTTTCTACTTTTTAATTGATTCTAATCGATTTTTAATGATCATTTTTTATCTTTTTTTCCATTCATTTGTTTTGCACCAAAAAATGCCTTATAATCAATAATTATTATCCCTTTGGCTTACCCTTCTTGTTTTCGATCTTGCAACAACATTCCTGATACTTATGCTTTTTGTTGAAGTTGGATTATGTAAAAACAGAAAAAACTGTTTTAAAAGTTTTCTAATCATTTCTAATTATAATTACTTTTTCATTTCTTCTTCATTAGCCTTGTTTCAGGATACATTTTTCAAATTTTTACCACCAAATTATCAGCACGTTGCTTTAATTTTATGCGTTTTTTAAGAAATATTTTTCCCTTTACCGCGTGAACCTTTCAACTAATCTGATGATCCCAAATATCCATGTAAATTTTGCACATACGAATGCGAACTTAATTGTCATTCGTGTGACATTTGCAAAACCTGGTTTGCCTAATGAAAATCCCAAATTTAAGGCAAAATCAAAGTTTTTTTCTGGAAATGCAAGGAGACTTAAAATTGAAAAAATGATAAATTGAAACAATCTTTTGAGAAAATCAAAAACGAAAGCCAAAACTCAAATTTAGCGATCCCAAACGATTTAGCCGATGTAAAATTTTCAATACAACAGAACAGCGACCGAATATTGACAATTCAGAAAAAACTTCAGAAAAAAACCTTGCTTCCTTGAAGCAGTCCATTAGACCGAGTAATGATTTTTCGTGAATTGAGAAAAATATTAGTGTTTTGCGCGAAACTTATCAAAACAGAGCAGTCGATCTACAACAATTGATAATGTTACTGCCCCCAAACCAAGCTATAACATACTCTAGTAATATTGAAAAGAAACCAGTGATATATGGATTAGTAGAAAATATACAGGACGTACAATTTGTACAAACTGAAAGGGACAGAAATAGTTTGCTGCAAATGTTCAAAGATAAAATGGAACTCAAAGAAACTACTGTGAAAGAATGTTTTAGACTTGGTTAAAAACAACCATACAAATCAAGATCTTTTCATTTCATGTCCTTTACATTTCATCTTCTTGGCATCAAAAACTTATTTTTCTGTCATTGAGAAAGCTAAAGAATTCGAATATGTACATCAAGGAAATTATGAATTATGCGGACTGTCAGAACGAAAAAACAATTCTGATATATTGATGCACTTGAGATCTTTGATGCAAAAAGAAAAATTAGAATTCAAAACCAAGGCTGGGAGTTTTGTGTTTGGCGCGTACACAATTGACTAAAACAAAAAGGTTCAAACTGAGTTTGATCGAATTCTCCGTAAAGAAAACTGTTTCTCTTGACAACTAAGTGACATGAAGCTTTTGTCACTTAATTGCAGATCAATTTTAACAATTGAACGGAAACTCAAGCAGGAAAATTTTTTGCGAATCCATCAACTTGAAGTTGTTACCCTAAGTGGAACTTGATTGGATAGTCATGCTGAAAATACCGCAGTCTTCTGTTCAGATGTATATGAAGTAATTTACCGTTCTGATAGGAAAACTGGACCTCAAGGAGGAGTCCTAACTGCGGTTAAAACATCATCTAAATTAAATGTCATCGATGATCAATCAGTTGTTTTTGACTCTGGTTCATATTTGTTTGTGAAGCTGAATAGACTAATGCTTTGCGTAACAGCCATTAACAATCCACCGCATGACAGTCTTTATCTCTAAAGGGAACTATATTTGAAATTTTTCGAGTGAAGTGAAAAAAAAACACAACGTTCATTTGATAGAATCTAACTTAAATACGTCGAACTGGATTTTATGAGGTGATATAAAATTAATTTCCGTTGATTGGAACACTTTAGCAAGTAATGACCAGCATGAACCCACTTTTTTAAAGCAGTTTTGAAGTTCAATCTTGGTTTACTGACAGATAATGATTTTTACAGCGAGACGTATTATATACAGACAGACTTTTTTTATGTAATAACTTCTAAATAGACCAAAGCTTCTCAGATCGTCCTGCACTTTCCTGTCAAAAAGCATTTAAAATTGAAACGGAACAGATAAATCTAAACCTTTACGGTAACCGTAAAACAGACTTCAAATCATTGTGTTTGTTTTTCTTAAAAAAGAGTCATAATATACGAAGGATGCAAATAGAATGCTTGAAAAAAATTTTGGGTTGTTTTATCAAAGCATTAACGATTCCAAAAAATACAATTCCTCGCTCTAAAGCTCCCCATTAGTTGTCATCACACTCAAAAAAGCTGAAAATTGTCTTAAGACGGCATTGAAACATAATTATTCTGACGAGAAAATTATGAGCTGCAAGCAAAAATTGAATGATTCTGTAGAACTAGAAAAAACCGTTTACTTTGAGTCAAAAAAAACTTCGCTTTAAAATTGACTTACAAAATATCTCAGATCAATAAATGGAAAGGCAAAAATACCCAAGAAATTTTCATACAAAAAAAACAGTTTATGTTCTGATTTTGCATTCTGTAAGGCTTTTAAGGAGTTTTTTGCATCTGTGTACAAAATAGACAACGAAGCATTGAATGTTCCAAGGGAAAAAATTTTTGCATGAATAATTCTTTCCAATATTTTTATTTTGCAATGCGAAATTCTTAACGAATTGAGTAAATGCAAATCGAGAACAGATTCATTTTATGGTATTTCTCCTAATATGTTAATTTTCGTTTAACACTTCTGTTTGAATGATTTTTTTAGTTGCGTAGTCAGCATAAAACAGTTAACCGAGATCTGAAAAATAGCACACAATAATCCTTTACACAAAAAACCTTCTCACATGAACATTGAAAGTTACACGCCCGTTTCAATACATCCATCAGTCGCCCTAATATTTGAACGAGTTTTGTTCATTCGTAGAAAGCGGTGTAAAAACCAACATGGATTTAGAAAAAATAATTCAACTGTGAAAAACCTCATATTGAACTGTGATGCTGTATACAAGAAACCAGAACAAGGAGAATTACCTCACATGCTTTTTTAGATAATGCAAAATTTTCGACTCTATTAGCCATAATATCAATTCATACAAGCTACGGAATTAAGGCTTCGATCATTAGTTACTTCACTTTTTGCATCTTATCTCACAAGCAGAAAACAAATAATTTTTGTTCGCTATTCCATGTCTCACTCCCGCAATATAACCGGCAACTATTTTTGCAGTGTTCTTGTTTTCTTTATATCTAAACGATGTGCCAGAAATTATTGACAACCCTTTCTTTTTGTATGCTGACGATACAAAAGTTAATGGAAAATGGTTTGACCTTTCTTCGATTCAAACAGATTTAAACAATGTAATCACCTGGGCATCAGAAAACAGTATTGACTTCATTTTTGACAAAATGAAGAAGTTAGGTTTCAAAAATCAAACAAGCGATCTTTAATCAAATGATGGAGAACAAAAAGTTTTGAAAGACACGGTGGAAGACCTTGGTGTTTGGTGCATTCTCAAAATGTCATGGATATACCTCATCACTTAAAGGAAAACCTGCATTTTAATTACATCAGAAGATCTTCACCAAACTCACCTGGTAGCTCTGTTCGGGTTTCACTTTTTAAACTTGCATATTATCAATAACTTTCTATGCATCTCCAGTTCCGTTTGCGGCTAAAAACCAAAATAAGCAAATACAAAAATTTTCAAAGATGATGCTCATAATGCCGTTACAAAAAACATGGTTGAATGATGGGGATTATGTACTTTACTTGAAAAAAGCAAACTGTTGCTAATTTCACTGACGTTATTTTAAAGCTATTTTATTTTGCTGAATTAGTTTCTTAATAATGAGTTGCCGATAAATTTTCTTGATTTTTGGACAATCGAAAAGGGCACTGTCAAGATTTTTAAGTTTATTTTACTAACTTTGTTATCAATGACTTAGAGTAACTAATCCCCACCTTGCGGTCTTAATTCAATTTTCATTGTTATGATT